GTAGATGCCCAAAAATTAATTAACTGAAACTTCAAAGACTCTTAGTGACACATTTTCTAGTCCATAAAGTCACTTTAACTTCCGTACTACATAACAGAGATTTTCTAGGATAATGTTCAGTGGGAATGCAATCATGCTTTTACTTCACTGTTATTGGATTACGACGCCCTGCCAGATGCAGACTTCAAAGCAGTGCAATGATTTGACCTCCTTCACTGTTCAGATGTGCGTCAGCTTTCATCTCAGAGAGTCAATTTTGGGTTTGAGGCCGTCACTATGAGGCACGAGTCAATATGGATTCGATCTACGTGATTTGACGACTAATTAATCTTATTCCATATTGCTCTTTTTGTGGTATGATCAGTTAACACTTTTTAATGCCATCATTAAAAAGAGATGTGATGATGTACCAAAGATTTAAATTATTTTGACACTGATTCATGGACCAAATGACTAATCACTAAATATAAAAGGCATGGTGTTGATTAAGTCATGCTATACGCAGAAATCTCTCATCTAATTATTTTTGTATCTAATGCGTTAATTTATCATAGATAAATGTCAGTAGAAAAGCCAACAGCACAACTTGCATAAGATCATGTGCTTTTTTGTAGCCTGTAGAACCAGCTTAGAGGAGAAAATGAGACTTTCAAAAGGTGAATATTACAAGTTATAATCCCCTTTAACCGTCAAACAGTCAATTTTGATTTTTGGATATATATTTTTTCCTTCAAAAACAAGCATTTTTTCAAACCCATGAGTGAAATATATGGACATTAATCATTTTTCAATGCTTGATATGATTAAATCTAGACAGTTAAGGTCTATGTAGCCATAAGGTAGCATGTTAACTGGTAATACTGGAAAAAATCCACTGAGATTCACCCTCACTCTTTAAAGAGTAAACGATTCATCCACTGAGGTTCATTTTAATATGTTATGCTCATATCATTACACATATTATGCAGTACAGTCATGTTAAAACTCATTTTAAGGGGAGACACTGTAGGTGAACAGGGTGAAACTTTAAATTAATCAATATCATTTGATCCCCGTTAATTACTTACAGTACATCTTTGTATTTGGAGTTTTCTATATTTCATACAGGTGGTTAACACTGTCGCCTCACAGCAAGAGGGTTCAGGGTTGGAACTCACCAGCTGGCGACTTTCTGCTTGGAATTTGCGTGTTCTCCCCGTGTCAGTGTGGGGTTTCTCCCGCAGTCCAATGCAGGTCAAGGTTAATTAGTGACTCTAAATTGCCTCTAAGTGCGATGGTTGTCTGTCTCTATGTGTCAGCCCTGTGATAGTCTGGCGACCTGTCCAGGTTGTACCCCGCCTCTCGCCTAACGTCAGCTGGGATAGGCCCCAACCCCCTCATGACCCTTAAAAGGATAAGTGGTTACAGATAATGAATGAATGAAATTTTAAATGAGACACTATATAGTTAAATATGCACTACAGAACTGCAGAACTGAAATATGAACATTGGATAGAGCCAGGTACAAAATTCATGCTTCATTTTGTTGACATATTGGACTCAACAATTTTGGATATCTCCTTTAATCACTCCATAAATCTGGAAATACTGACAACAGCCATAAAAAAAGAAAAGAAAATCGCCATGTTTTAGGAATAAAATGTCCTATAAATGCAGCTATGGGTGAAATAAGAATAAACCTTTCTGTACAAAGATCAGAGGAATTAAACTGGAAAGTTTGGCGTTTGATAGTTCAGCTGAAGTGGAGATTTCTGGCTCAGAGTACAAGGAAAAACTCAGTTTGTGAAAATGGCCTTTAAAGATGTTTACTGTAAAATTCCATACATCTTTACACAAAAAATAAGATAAGACAGTAGAATAGCTTGAACATTTTTACTAATAAATATCACCATGAAACTTCTCCAGATGATTACTGACATTAAGACGTTAATTATTTATATGACAAGTTTTCTGAAAATGCATGTTTAAATATGCGAATGAGGCATTATCCAATCAAATCTGCACTTTGAAGTTGTCACTCTGCACACTCATACCTAAATGCTAGAATAGCTCAGTTTACACAGACTTCCAAAACGACATATATGATCATACCCAAAACGACACATGCTACTGTTCAAACGGTCGCAGTTTTAAACACTTCCTTAACGTTATGAAACAGTTGCTATTACATCTTAGTGGTTTGAGTTAGGCAAAAAATAGGTGGTTAGGTTTAGAAAACCACCATAGTTTGGCATTAAATAAATACTTAAATTACTTATGTAACATAATGTATGTTGTGTTGTATGCTACACATACTAGCATACACTATGTTTTAATTAAAAGAAGTCCGTGTCGACTGTGGGCCACAAACGCTTGTTTACACCATGATCCACCACTTCTCCCATCTTTATACCACATTACACGGACTTTGTCGCCTTTTTATACTGTTAAAACTGTTACCTCCCTTCCTCTCCTGCTCCCAAAATAATTACTATGGCCAGTAGAGGGCGCTGCCTTACAATAACAGTAAGTCTATGTCGTAATGAGCCGCTCGCACAGTCGACCTGTGTGGCCATTTTTTGCTGAAAGCAGCCTGGCTTTTTGCATAAATTTCCGATACAGTAATCTGAACTAAAACAAACACCTAAATGTGTATTTTGGACGACTGAAAGACCACATGGAAGCAAATTAGCCCAAAATCTCACCTGTAGTGTCTCCCCTTCAGTTTTGGATGACTTAAGGGAAGTAAAGACTGTCATAAACTGAGGGAAGACCGATGATGACGAAGAAAGCAGTGCCTCTAATCTAATGTTTTAGTTCAGCTTCATCACACAGACAGACACAATACAACATCCCTTGTTTACGTGAGTCATGCTCTGGTGTGTTTCAGGACATCAGACATGCCAGACGTCTTATCTCTACGGAAACTTAAGCAACTACCTTCTGATCAAGACCTGCCGTGATGTCATCACACGACCTGACCACTGACAAATGTTGCTCAACTTCCCTGCTAAATCTTCTTCATTAGGTTTCTTTCTCCTCGACCTGTTTGTTGAGATCACCTCATGATATTGTGCTTCTGTGGTCTAATAAACCTCTCCAAAGATGATGATTGTCAGAGAGGTATTTCCATACTTCCTGCCAATGAGTGAAGCAAATTAAGCCCAGTAGTCCCACTTGTGTGCAGCTCATCTCATCATCTCACAATGTTCTCAGCCGCCAATTAAGAAATGGTTATGGTCGTTAGGCGATGATGGGACTCGTACAAGATTCAGCTCAGGTTCCCCTGCTCGCAGTCGTCATGAGCGAAACAAATTGGAATACATGTGTACAGGCAGACACACACACACAAACAGCTACATCCGTTGCATGCACACAGTGAACTGCACCCCCGCAGTGAAACATAATACATTGATATTCAGGACAGCACAGGCAGAATGGCTGCTGCATGGGAAGTGGCGTGGGGAAGAACGCCGTGCTCTGACAAAAACCGCGGCGTGCTGTGAGGCTGAATAATGTCGACAACGGGAGCCTGAGGAGTCTGCAGTGCCTTGATGACAACCAGCAGTTTGATTGTCAGGCCTCAAATCACAGTCCCTCTGTGTCTGTGTGAAGATTAACAACGGAGGGACACATAACAAATGCTTAATTGCACATTACCCAGGATGAGTTAAAGGGACAGTTCACCCCAAAATCAAAAAGTCATATTTTTCCTCTTACCTGTAGTGCTGTATATCAGTCTAGATTGTTTTGGTGTGAGGTGCAGAGTGTTGGAGATGTCAGCTGTAGAGATGTCTGCCCTCTCTCAAATATTATTACTGGACTCAGCTGTCTCTTTCTAGAAATCATGACCGGATTATTCAAGATAATCCACAGAGAGTTTGACCTCTTTAGACTTTTCCCTTCTCAGCGCACCTTGAAAGCAGGTGAAGTTGTGCAGGACATCCCTTCTCTGCTTAACAAATAAATTGACATTTTAAATATACAAACAATAAGTAAGTGTACCTTGAGTTTTTGTTTTTTACTTGCGGGTTTTAAGGTATTATTGGTGCCAGTTTCTAATACAGCAACCTCTCTGAAGGATTTATAAGTTAGAGCTTGTTTCATCATGTACTGATGCTTTATTAACATTTACCAGCCCTTTATTAGAGCAGCTTTTGGGTTGCCAGGTAGGTCTTTTTATCCTCCTCCAGTAATGAGATCCATATCTTATTCGTTTTTTAGCTCTTTAAATCATGAGAATAAACCCTCCAATGTTCACTGTGACCTCTGACCTCCAGAATCCTTTATTAATTATTTATTAGCATTTACTTTTGACCATTTAATAATGACTTATGGACATATGGAGGATGAAAAATGACAAGTATAAAAAAATACATTTCACTTATTTATTTTTTATTTATGTTTGCATTTATTTCTATATTTATCTATTTATTAAATACTGTATTTATTTATTGCATTTATTTATTTCCATGTATTTATTCATGTATGCATTTATTTAATGCATTAATTTATTATTTTTTTATTTATTTCCGTATTTATTTTTTAATACTGAATTTATTTATCTATTCATTTATTTCCATATTAATTTATTTATCCCTGTATTTATTGATTGATTGCTTCATGAGTCTTTTTTTTGTCTTTCATACTTTATAACTGTACACTTTTTGGCTTATTTATTAATTAATGACTCGACAGCCAAAGAGATTTTTCAACACCTGGCAACCCACAGATTTTTCTAATTAATGATTCATAATTGATTTATTACCCCTTTCTTTCAACCTGTGAACCTTGTATAAAAAGGTACATGAAGTTATTTAAGGGTGTGACTTAAAACACTATAATGAGGACACTTGATTGTTAATTACATTTCAAAGGAAATGGTGAAATTAAAAATATATATGTGTATATTATCAAGTTCCTCTTTAAAAATCAGCAACAAGTAAATAAAGGTGAGCTGGTGAGATGCAGGCAAGGTGCAACAGTCTTCACCTTCATCATCCCCTCACACACACACACACACACACACACACACACACCCCAGGTTGGTAAAGGATGGATCAGTGAGGAGGAGGAGGCAGGAGAGTCGCATCCAGAGGTCCACCACAGAGGAGAGAAGATGCTCCGCGTGGCACATCACACACACGTGTGATAATGAAATGATATGACGACTTCACAGCGACCACCGAACAGATGCCTCGCGCCGTTTCCCTTTATTTCCGTTGCAGGATGACCTGTCAGGTGCTACGTGCGTCTCGGTCCACATCAGGAGCCGCGCGCGGTGTTGCGTCTGTGTGTCAACTCAGAAGAAATGCCATCTCACCTAAGTGATCTTCCGTCTCTACCGCTCGGATCATTTTTTCCTCAGCAGGTCGGATCGCTTTGCTTTTGATGTCCCCGTGGCCACTGATTGAATGGCTGTCATGACTTGTGCCCTCAGGACTGTGAAGCTACGAAAGGAGGATGAAAACCCCCCGTTTGGTGTTTATGCGTCCTTTTAACCTCTCGGTAATTACAGCCGGTAATTAGACTGGAGCCTCGGTGAAAATTTACTGAATCAACAATGGAAGGACCTTCTGTGTATCCACATAAAGGGTAAGATATTTTTTTTTAACGGGTTGTTTTCTCACAGGAATGCAACGCATCAGTGCAGTGAGCATGCATTTAAATGTTCTCAGCCTGGTTCATAATCAAACGTGTTCGTAATACAGGCTATTCAGGGTCACAGATTTTCTGTTAGACATTTATAAAACATAATATCCCACATCCGTTCTCTTCATTTGCACTGTGAGCTCTTGACTGGATGCACACTGGAATGAAAGGGCTGATTTGATTGCAACTAAATACTGAATGCCATTCACACAGTGGCCTAGCGGGCACAAATGAAGCAGCTGCAGTGCTGTTGCACACATTGTGCTTCATACAACATGATCAAATACATGGCACACATGTTGAATTATTAAGCAGCACTTGTGACTTCTTAAAAACGGTGGCGCAGGAGTCACAGGGTTTTATTAATACTGTGTGATTAATGCCACAATGTGGATCAAATCTCCCATTAATGATCCCACCAATACCTCTCAACTGTTTTGTAAAACGTAGTGTACTCATTTTTTTAAGATTTTAATGTACAGTGTTCTCACTAGTCTGCTTCCAGTGTCACCAACATAGGCGTAGACTGGGGGGGATTAATATTTTAACATGTTCATTTGTCCTCCACAGTTAAACATTAAAGTAGCAGAGGGCTTTTGACCAAATGACAGATATTTCCACCATAAATGAACTCAGAAAGGACACAAATCGGTGAATGAAAATTAACCAGAATGCAAAAAATTAAGGGTTTGACGATCAAAACTCCCCTCAAAACACATTCTCATCCCAACTCATCAAATGCCGACGCTTGGTCAGTAGCCTTATGCATCAAAATATGAGGCGCTAGGCTCCCTCCTGTGTCAGTTTTGGACATTCAGGATCAGCGTGTCTGTACGCTTGTTATATGCATACAGTCTTTTTCAAAATACACTTACAACGTTAGTATAGCACACATTTTTTAGGTTTGTTTTCCTTGGTTTAGGCAATAGAAGCACATGGTTTGGCTCAAAATGCGTAAGGTTGTTACCAACATAATGAAATGTCATGTGACATATGTCATTAGTGTAGCATGCTACATGTACTAGCACAATACGTTGTTACAAAAGCAACTTGGCTGACTTCTGGTTTCATACTGGAAACAAACAGTGGGCTCCTGGGTAAAAGTCCAGGGTTTGTCTGACCCATCCACCTCCCTTCGCACCCATCCCAACACATTCTCACTCCGACCTCGTCACATATGGACGTTCGGTCATGGACCTTCCACGTACCCTGGTTGCGTTGGCTGTTGACGTTCTGGGAGGCCGTGTCAAGTTCTGCCTGTTACATGCATTGTCTTCTTTCAAAATACACTTCCGTTTTCACAGGAAATTTAACGTTTACATACAGTCTCTTTCAAAATAAACGCACTACAACGGTACAACAACGCGACTTAATGTATTTTTTTCCCTCCAACAACTAACGCACGTGGTTGGGTTTAGGCAACAAAAGCACGTGGTTAGGTTCAGGAAAAAAGAACAGGGTTTGGCTTTAGAATCTTACGGGACGTGAACACTGCTCCCCCAACCGCAATTGGCTGCGTAACATGACGACATGAAAGGACGGCTTTTCTGATGCTGCAAGTCACTGCCCAAGCGCTTGATTTTGACGACTTCAGAGGGAGACTGGGTTGACTGATGCCGACTTTCTCGCTCTTTTTATACGGTAGTTGCCCACAGTGTCAGAAACTGCGATGGTATTTGAGGAGTTGGAAGTGAGACTGGGCTGCCTGTTTCATATGTGCCCCCCCAGTACTGAAACAAAACCTACGCCCTTGGTCACCAGTATAGTCTATACAAGTATACTCTGAGAGCCAACTCACCTACACGCTGCCCAGTGTGTTCTACTTTTAGGTTATCAGGTATTTATCATGATAGGTGTAATTTACAGGAGTAGCAGGGAAGTGATGCATGTCCAGAGCTCATTGTTTGAGGACACTTCACTGTGTCCACAGTGATCATTAGATGCCTGTCCAGTGACACTGGTGCACAGAACAAGAGCAGGGTAATCAGTGCACTTATCAGAGGCAGAGTTTCTTTCACTGTGTGTATCTAAAAACTCTCACAGCTGTCATGTATTGTCATTTACAGACAAAGATGTTTCCTGGCTGTGACTTTATTTAAACCTCGCCATGGGGAAGAGTTCGGGCTGAGACACGGGGAGATTTGATAACACAGTAGAAGAGACAGAGCCTGGAGGCGGAGACATGGTCATCACTGATAGAAACACCGGCACCCCTGTACCCAAGAAGGAGCCCCAGAATAAGACGAGGAGGAAGTCTCGCCCTCATGGCCTGCCCTCTCCGGCACTCTGCTGTGCCTGCGGCCTATGCATCATGCTGGCTGGACTCAACATCACCCTGGTGGGAGCGTTCGCCTTCACCACACTGGTGCCTTCTGCCAATCCCCCGATCATCATTGGACCTATCCTACTGCTGGTGGCCTTCTCCTTTTTTGGGGCCTGTTGCGTGTGCAGCCGCCTCCCTCCTCCCCACAGCTCGCGGAGGTCTAAGGTGGGTGGCAGGGGCGCCGGGCTGATGGGACATGGCGGGCTGGCTGGTGGGGCAGCGTTTGAAATAGAGACCAGTGAGCACACGCTGCAGGATACCACAGCTGTGCAGCTCAGCCCCACATCCTCCCCTGGATCGTCCCGGGCGTCCAGCCCAGAAAAGGAGGCTCCCGACGCGGCCCTGCCAGGGTCCTGCAAGCTCTTCACCATGGAGACCAACGGCCCTTCTTCTGTTTCCGCCACCGCAGTCTACTCAGCCTCCACAGCAGCAGGAGGGGAGGTGAGGCTCAACCTACCACGTGAGGAAGTGGTCGCCTAGCAGAGCAAAAACTCTTCCAAGGCCGGAGCGCTGCCAGTGTAAATATCCTTCTGGGTCGAGGGCTTGCTGAGTGTGATTGTGTCCTCTATTTAACGTAGTGCCATACTTCTGGTTGTGAACAGTATGCTTTTGATTTTCTTGCTGTGCAGCCAACTGGTAATTAGCATGCAAAGTTAATGAAACATCCAAGTGTTTGTGGATCAAAGGTTTTGGAATTCAAATTCCTACCTCTCTTGTGCTGTTTTTTCCTACAGGTCTATGTTTTTAACGTGGGGCATTATGAACAGTTTTAGTGTAAAAATCAAAGTGTCTGAAACCATAAACATTTCTCTTACACTGCTAACCTCAGCTGTCGGCAGTGATTTCAGAGGGCTGGAATGAAAAAATATGATTGTTGATTTGTTCTGAAAACTTAAAGATGAGATGTGAAAGGTCAACGGTGAACCGTGCAGGTACGTTCGTAGAGACATTTGGCATTTTGTCTGCCATTCTCAGTGCTGAACTTGTTTTGGGGGCGTCAGCTATTATAGGTCAAAGGGGTCCCAAAGCAATATCCTATCACCTGAGATTAAATTCTCTGTATTTACAGTTCTTTTCACAAGTAAGTGGTCACACACTACTTGTCTACAGCCAATACATTTCTAATGAACAACGGTGCATATAGAGCCAAACGTGTACGATGTTGGGTCACACCAGCATCAGTGCTGTGAATATTATGTTTCTCACCACGTTGTTTTCTGATTTCATTTTCATTGACGGTAGTCGCAACTCAAATCACAGTTTTAAGGTCACGCTCATGTTGATATTTTCAGTAATTTATATACAGTGTAATGCAGTTTAGGTCATGATCCAGGTGGAATAGGGACTTACCTCACTGTAAGGCATAACAATGTGTCGTCATGAGGATTTTTGTCATCAGGAATTTGAATTAACAGTGGAAACTCCACGCAGGAATGTTTTACAAACGTGAATTTCACAGTATGGAATTCTTGTTCTCAATGTCTGATATGACAGACTTTCACTTCATATTCAGCAGAAGTTAAAGGTCCAGTGTGTCGGATTTAGGGGGATATATTGGCAGAAATTGAATGTAATATCCATAGCTATGTTTTCATTAGTTTATAATCACCTGAACCTAAGAATCCTTGTGGTTTTGTTACCTTAGAATGAGCCATTCAAATCTTTACAGAGCAGGTCCTCTCCCAAGGAGTTTGTCGACACACCAAGCCGACGGTTAGCTGTAGGTCAATGCTGAGCCATCTGTGAGCATCTGTCACCGTAGTTCTGTGTGTCCTGCACTGTTAGCACTTGTCGGCCCTTTTCAGCTTTTGTTCGGTTGACTCAGCATGTTGAATTTGAGATGGTGGAGCCCGGCGGTGAGTAAAATCACTGTGATTGGCCAAAACGTTCTCACTCGTTACATATTGACGTTTGGTCATGGACTTTCCATGTCCACATAGGACGTGCAAGGTACCCTGGGTGTGTTGGTTGTTGATCTGGTACACCGTGTCAAGTTCTGCCTGGTACATGCATTGTCTTCTTTCAAAAAACACTTCTGTTTTCACAGGAAATTTAACGTTTACATAGTCTCTTTCAAAATAAATGCACTATGTCGGTACACAAATTGGATTTTAATGACTTCAGAGTAAGACCAGGCTCAATTGGCAGTTCAGCTCAGCGCACAAGAAAAGACACAAGGAGAGCAAACAAACAGCTAAAGTCCAAAGGGAGTGAGATCCAAACAAACTTGTTATATGAGGTAAGATTATTTTTTTAGTCATTGAGCTCTTTAACAGAAACAGTTTGTAATTGTAATTTGAGTTATTGTTTGCTGGCGCATGATTAATATAGTTATTTCCTCTCACACAGACACAGAACATACATGCTAGTTCGCCGTCTCTGTAGTCATTGTGGTGTGTTTACTTGTCATTTGGTGGCAGAGACACATGAGTCAATGCAACGGCTGGCCTTCATCGCTACTAGTTCTGTGATGTAGGTTTGGTGTGTCTGGACCTCACAGTAGTCTGGAATGGACAAATCAAACACTGGCTCCAGATAGGGCCATTTGTGTTTTAGTGTCGACCACCATAGTCCCACACCAGGTATTACTCAAAAAACCAGATAAGAAAAGAGATATGAGTTTGTCCCCATTCTTGCATGAATATATTTGGAGAGATCTAGACCTTTGAATTCATCCACTCCACAAAGTTGACTTGGACTGAGCATCGCAGTGCGTGCATGTGAGTTTACAGAGAGAGAGATGTTTCTGTAAGTCTATAAGTTAGGTTATTAACAACTTACTCTGAACGCTGCTATCTCAATTGTTTTTGGGGTTGCCTCAAAATAGTAAGGCCAGTTGGGAAGCGTTGGCAGGCCGTATGTGGCCAGCGCGCCGTCAGTTAATGATGAATGTTCTACATGCTTCGTACAGGGGAGAAGTTTCATTTGGTTGCAATGTGCAACCTCACAGCTAGATGCCACTAAATCCTACACACTGAACCTTTAACCTTCTCTGGACCTTGTATACACAGTATCGGCAAGCCAAGAAGTCTGACAGAGTTAAGATTTTCAGATTGCATTAAAAAAAGTATCTGTTCCCCATCACTGTGATGTCGTCTTGTCAGCTATGAACTCGACTGGTCAAAAGAGACATTAAACCCTGATTTCCTTTGAAAGGAAAGTTGCCTTAGACTGAGATATCAGGATCAAACTAATGAGGGCTATAACAAAAGGGCACAATAGCATTTTTCCTCAGAAAGCCTTTGTTAGGCTCTGGATTTCTATTCCATATTGTTAGGAAAGCCTCAACTAGTGTCTGTTTTTATTTCTGTGGGTATAATAAATGCATGCAAACGGCTTCAGTGTTCCATCTCAGCAGAAACGATCTGGAGAAGCAGGAGAGTGAACACCTGCATACAGATACACAGTGCAGTGACCAGAGCGTTCCTTTATACGGTGTTAACCTTCATTATTTGTGACACAGCTCCTCAGAAGGACCAGTTTCTCTGTCAAAGCTCGCTCCCTCTCGTGCTGAGCTTATTTTTTTGCATGTTAAGAGAACTGAGTCATGGAAATGCAAACACCCTGTTGTGAACTCGTGGTGTTATCTGTGTGTTTTAATTTGTGTAGCACCTCTGCAGAAGTCTGGAAAATGTAAAGGATAGAATATTTTTGTGAAGATCATAATTTGTTTATTTAAAAAAAGAAGTAACGATCCAAATGTGAATCCTTCAGAAGATATAAATAAAAAGGCTCTTTCAGTAGAACGTGAGGTCGCTCAGTATGTATGTGTGGCATGATGCTGCGTTTTGTGACATCATGAAGTGAAGTGAATAAAAATGTACAACTGGATTTGCTATATGTTTAAATTTCTGACACATTCAGTGTAATCTTGCAGGATAACACCCGTTTTATTATCTTTACAAGCATAATTTCAGGGTTCCCACAGGTCCAAAAAATCCTTAAAAAGTTTCTGAATTTTAGGAGAAAATCAAGACCTTGAAAGTGCTTGAATTTATATATTTTTTGATGTTGTCTGCCATCACACATTCAAGCATCTCTCTTTTTAGTGCCATTTCTCATCATAGAAATGCTCAGTGTTGTAACAGTGTGTTGGGTCCTTGAATTTGAAGAAACTAGGGCTGGATACTCCTTGAGAAGCCCTTGAATTTGATGTTGAAGAAAGTGTGGGAGTCCTGTTGTTTATTCCAAGAGAGTCTATAAAGATTCTTCAGCACTTTGTAGCAAAACAACAAGACATAAAGCAAAAATGATTCCCCAGATGTGTCAGAAAGAAGGTGCAAAACAGCTGGTGACTTTATGCCTCAGTTTATCCGTCCATGCCAAACCAGCCTCCTGTTCACCTCAAGCACCTCAGTGTCACATCTAGACATGCAACTAAGGATTATTTTTTATTATTGAGTACTCTGTTGATTATTCTCTTGAATAATAGGTTCATTTAACACGGTCAACTCAATTCAACAACAATCCTGGGTGTCTACATGTATCAGACACTTAAATTTAATGTCTTTAAGATGTTTTTAAGACAGATTTTTAGACATATCTTTTTTGTTATTCAGTCATTGCAGTTAAGTATAAAGGCAGGTGTATATATGTGATTCCATGCAGCAGTAGGAATATGGTTATTAAAATGAGTGAGGATAAGCCACATTTTGCCAACAGGTAAGTGCACATAAAAAATAAAAAGACAGTATGAGGTTCAGTGGTAGGTTTAAAGATCTATAACATCAGAAATTTGGACTTTCACATAGAAGAGCTTGATGCATTTTGACAAAAAGAAATTAAAAGATGGTTAAATTAAAATGAGATGAAATGTTTGTAAGACTATTTATTGATGTTTAAGGTCTGATATTTATAATTTATCACTTTTTAAGGACCTGCAGACACCCTGCAAAGATAATCAACTTACAGCCATATGAAAGAAAAAAATCTGCAAATCTTCTCATGTAAAAACCTTGAACTTCTTGCTTTGTTGCTCGACTAATTCTTTTAGTTAAGTGTTTACTAAAAATACTGCTGATGAGCCCTGAGCAGTTTCCTGCATGCCACTCCCCTCCTCTCTTTCCAACATGTTGTGTCTCTCTATACTATCACTGTCAAATCAAGGTATAAAATGCTCCCTAAAATCTTTTAAAGGGGAACTCTGCCCATTTTAAAAATTTTCACACATTATTCCTGTCCTTCAAGACAGTCTGAAACATAAGTAAACACAACCAGCTCTCTCACAAATCCAACAACTAATGTGCAAAAACTCAAATGTGTGATGTCGTCAAGTATAAAGTGTGGAGCTGCTTCATAGACACTGAACTGGGAAAGATGTTATAGATGACACTGAGAGCACCCAGGGGAATGTTCTGAGTATATGGGGACATTTTCTGTTTCATGACTAAAATAAAACACAGCTAATTCGAGTATAAAAAAGAAAACAAACATCATGTGAGTCCACAAAAGCGGTCTCCCATTCATTGTCTATGGAGCAGCTCCAGACTTTACACCTTATGACATCACAAGTTTGAGCTAACCTCTGGGGGTCTGGCTTTGACAGAGAGCAGCTCATGTTAACAAATATTGATTAAACTTTCCTAGACCATGGGAATATCATATTGGAATTCTTAATTTAGGCGGTGTTCCCCTTTAATAATAACAAAATCATTAGGTGTGACCTCTAGTCCACCTGGTAGAGTGTAGATCCCATGTAGGTCGAGTCCTTTGCAGCAGCACAGATTCAAATCCAACTTGAAGCTTCTTGCTGTGTGTCGTGCCCTCTCTTTCTCCTCCCTTTCCTGTCACTCTCCAGCTGCTCTGTAATAAAGACAATTAAGCCCTAAAAAATCATATTCACACAAACAAACAAACAAAAACACTGCAGATACATTTCTTGTCAATCAACTGATCAGTTTGTTGTTTTTGCCTCTTTTTGGGCCTTTGTGGCCTTTATTTGAGAGGACAGTGTTAAGAGTGAAAGGGGGAGAGAAAGTGGACAATATGCAGCCAAGGGCTGCAGGATGGAATCAAACCTGCAGCTGCTGTGGCAAGGACTCAGCCTTTGTACATAAGATAAGATAATCCTCTATTCGTCCCACAGCAGCAGAGGGACAGTGCAAACAGGAACACGGGGGCTATTCGGTGCCCCTGGCTGGTTAAAAATTTGTTCTGAAGAAGTCAAATCAGAGCATATTTAAAAACAAGTTGACGAAAGTGCTTTACAAAGAGACTGAATGAAACAGAGGCATGATAAATAAATATAATAAATAAATAATAGACCTTAAGCTGGAAAGGAGGTTTAATTGTTAGTGGGAGATTATTCCATAGTTTGAGGCCAACAACTAAAACTGCTTGATTACTTTTTGTTCCTGACTGGGTGCAGGTAATGGAGAGTAGTGATTGGTCCCCAGATCTGAGGGTTCAGGAGATGGAATACAATATGAACAGTTCAGAAATATAACCAAGTGCCTGTCCATGCTGTGCTCTAAAAACAAATGAAAGAATTTTAAAATCAATTCTGTCCCTCACTGGTGAAGAGAGGCCGGTACAGATGACATACAGTCTCTTTTTCTGGTACCTGTGAGGAGAAGAGGCAAACAA